TCAAGACCGCGAAGTAATCCTGGAAGAGGGACAGGGACGCTAATTATGGCGCCATGTCTTTGATGTACCACAAAAAGCGGGATGTTATCGTAGAGATAGGGGTGGTTATAGGGCGGTGAGCCTACAACAGGCATCGCTTCGTTATCCGAATACGGGCAGAAGGGATTCGGGGTAAAAATCAGCAAGATGGGTATTTATTAGTAGTGATCATTGGTAACCATTCAATTGTAATTGATGCCTTGTATACGATTGATAACTACCACAGATTGTCTATTATACAATTTTTTAAAGTAATTAGAACAAAACCATAGCGTAATTTGACTTAAAACTAAGGTATACCATCAACCGTACAATACTTTTCAAATCTAACTTAAGAACAAAATAACTTAAGACCCCGGTAATATTTAAATAAATTTTAGAATCAGAATATACCATTCCTACAGGGATTCTTTAAGCCGTACAAAGTATACAATCTAAGGAGGAAAACAACGTTAAGAGGGAAAACTTGGAATCGCAACAAAATTGTATAGCATCCATGGCGATATCTACAAAAGTAGCAAACTTTAAGCTTAAAGATCCCAATAATCGGGTTTAAAGTTTTAAAGTAGAACATGAAAGTACCTTTATGTATTTAGTTTCAAGTTTACAATATAGAATCACGTGATATTTCCTATCACACAAATTAGACAATTAATAATCTTTGAAGTGTAATTTGAGGAAACCCTCAATATTAGTTGTCTCATCGATGTTTGACAAATTTGCAGCTCGATGACTTGCACAATCATGACTAATGGTGAGACAACAATGCACATCGCTGGGAACAATAGCCTTGTATCATGGCGCTGACTAGTACCTCACAGAGGAAAGAGATTGGGTTTTAGGTTAATTATGTTCAAAAATACACCATAAACCAATATCTAACCTTTCTAGTAGGCTGTGATAGTTAAAAGAATGGGGCGTTATAACGTGCAGGCTAAGCGAATCACCATTTGCCTGGTTGTATTTTGAATTAAATCTATCATTAGTTTTAACGAGTACCTACGTATGTGCTACAGGGACGATGATGAAGTGTTTTCCTTAGTAAAATATGAATAGCTTAAGTTTGATAAAAATATATCCATAAACAAGAAAACTATAAACAAATAAATTCAATTTAGGTTATAATAACAAGATATATTCAAAAATATGCTTTTCCAAGACCGTACAATTTATCGGAAATTTAAATAGACAAAGATATAGTTATATTAAAATGATTGTACCGTCTCAAAAAGCTCTATTTTTGATCCACTAGACCGTTTTAAAACTGGTTTGGAACCGCTTGTATTGACTTTCTCTAACAATTCATAATGACAAATAAAATACATATTCAATGGGAAAATGTTTATAAGAAACATTGTGGTAACTCACTGTATTTCAAGAAACCCCTTTTAAGGAAATCCTGATCCTAAATTCACATAATCTTGGATAAAATCCACACTAAGACATTAGAAACGACGAGTAGCATACCGCAGATACAAATTATCTTGATACAAAGCACACTTGCATAAGTAGGTTGCCACAATACAGCCCCTTTACCTGGAAAGTAAAAATTACTGTTTAGTCAATTAAAACTATTCTGAAAATTTCCTTTATCTCATAAATTAGTAAGCAAATCCAACAGGAAAATTACTTTTTGCATGAAACCAGCAAATTCCAAACTTTATTGGACCGTAAAATATTTAACACATTTTAAAGGGTAAAAAATATCTCGTTTAATGAAGGTTTGATTATGATTACTAAATTGCGTTTATTAACTATTAATACAATGCGTTCTCCTGCTTGATTTATAGCAAAAATAATTACTAGATATGCTTTGTTAATATACATTATAGAGTAAAATATAGTGCAGTTTATTTTACTTTTATTAGACAAAGGCTTTAAAAAAGAAAGAATAAATCACCTCTAATATAATACGTGCCGTACAACATTAAGGGGAGAGAGAGGGTAAGAAAAAAAATCATAATTTATTTTCAATTTCCGGTTGATTAATTCACTAGGATACTTTTAATATTTGCAAAAACCCAACCATAAATTGCGAAATAAAAATAAATTTAAATTTACTGCGTCTATGACAGTTTTAACTATGACCAAGCATATAAATCTGGAAAAACTATTTGTGACAATTCGATTAATGTTGAATTCAGTAAACTTCTTGATTATCACTAAAACATCACCTTTGATACATGTGCTCCAGGTTCTTTAGAACCATTTTAAAGTCAAAAGAGGAACGCACCGTTCCCTAAGACATGGTAATTTGGGCCCATTAGGATTCAACAGAACAAAAGTAAGACTTTAGGGGAGGTTTCGATAGAGGCGTGCAGAGCTGTGAAAGGAGAGGGGGGGAGGGGGAACACGCACTTTGACTGTTTAAGAAGCCCTAAATACCATAAATAAGGTGAAACGACAAAGGATGATTAGTATTTTTGGGGGAGTTTGTACCTCACAACCTCACAGCCATAGGTAGGATGTCTGCTTAGCATAATTGATGTACCCTGGCTGTGTGTGGGGTTTAAGTTGTTTCAAATGTTGCAACCCGACACAGGAGATTCTTCATCATACATTAAATGTATGTAAATGTACGTAGCGTTTACGACATTGGTAATGTTCGTCAACATTATTCCTTAATTTACTCACATGTAGATTCTTGATGAAAGTTAGTATTTTGATACCTACCAAGGGCAAAATGATTTATATATCATACTTTTAAACTGTTCAAACAAGAATAGTAACTCTGATATTCATATCGATATTGTTATTTATCGGTTTTCGATTTTTCTTTATGTACAAATGCTTGGCTTATTGCTATGGTTTGGAATGCAATGCACTTAATAGCTAATACAAATATTTAGTCCGAGAGAATAATCCTTTTTCATATTTCCTGGTAAAAAAAGTACTATTACTAAAGTTCCTTCAATAATTTGTAAAAAGTGAAATATGCATAGCCTCACGTAATAACGCAAATTTGTACATAAATGATTACATTTAGTTAATCTAGAGGTTAACACCTAAAACTTCAATGCAAGGTACAACACGGACCTCAATCCCAAAACTGCAATTAGGAATGATCTAATAAACATTTTATTTCTGCAAACTGCAAAATTATTCAAATTGAACAAACTACTATTTCAACTGTATAATGATCTAAGGGGTGAGATAATTATTGCAAAGCTGATATAAACTCGAGAACAGTGGCACTCGCCGTCCTTTGAGAAGCAAACTACATTTGCACCCAAACAAATGGAAGGTGTCTATTATAACTGGAACAGACTGTCCTGACAACTAGATGGATTGTCACAGACACAATCTCATTTCATGTTTTCATCAAACAATTTGAGAAATACACTGTCTTTTTGTTTGTGTTCAAATATAACTTGAAGATTGGATTTCGAGTTAGGTTTGTAACGCGGATATCTTATCAATTTGTCAGGATGAAACTGTATTGTAATTCGTAGAACTCGTTTGGCTGTTTAAAGACAATTAATATGTAATAAGTTAAAATAAATGATTATACTTTATCTTTAATTCGTCACAGGTTTGGGACCCGGGGATAAAAAGTTTATTTAATTTGGTGAAAAATATATAATTGTTCATAGTTGTACAAATTAAATACAATCATTCTAATCTATTACTTGCCTAATATAAAAATAAAAGGCTTAGGATGCGTTCATTTTTTCCTTAAACTGTTTTTAGTTGTGAAATTAATAGAAATCCAAATACTAAAATTTTACAGAAATCGATATTTGACATTATAAACAAGGCTACCATGAAAACCATGGCAATCGGTTTACTTTTTGACACTGTGAACTATTTAAAACAAAATGCATCATCAAACTGTTTTATTTTGAACAACCCTTGAAATAAGATTCCAAACAAACCCCCTAAGAATAAATTTCAAATCCGTATAAAAATAACATATTGAGCAGAACTACTGTACAATATTCCTCAGCGAGTAACTTCCGACATCAAAACATGTTTAGAAACTTTTAAACTACGTAAACTGTTTAAGTCTTCCAGACATGTATCCCAGTTTCTTTCTCAGTTTTCAACTCTTTCTAAACTTGTCGAAATCAGCCGAGAAAACACGCTTAAGCGTTTCAAGCTGTGATACATCAGTATCACTATAGTATGTCACTTTCAGGTGACATTGTGTTCAGTCATAAGGAGCGTAGTATAAAAAAAATAATTTGCTATACATTATTTATACGTTTATCTCAAATGGTTCTGTTTATAGTATCCTTTAAAATATAACATCCGCATATTTTAACCAACCTGACCTTTGTAGTACCCGACGTTTTTAATAGACATAAAAATAGTTTAAATTAAAACTTAACTAAACAATGTTTAATCATTCCTTTAGAACTAAAATATGTTTTTCTAAAGTTCTTAAGCCTTTAGGTGAAAGCAGGATAAAGTGATTAAACTTTCTAATATAAATAAAGAGTACCTGGGGACATCATTAGTTTACTCTGAAAGCAGTCTTAGTTTTGCAGATACATGAATCCATTCTCCACACTCCTCTTTCACCATTTCCTGTGTCATGGACATGTTTCCATCCCTTCTCATAGCATTTCAGTATTGCAGATACATTATTCTAACTGCTACAAACTGTTTCCAGTTCCCACACTCCACGCCGCTGTTTCCCTCCCTTCCCACGGCATTTTAGGATTGCAGATACTTTAATCTAATCGTTATAAACAGTTCCCACACTCCGGACTTATTTCAATGATAAAACAGGTTCAGAACAGACATGTTGCTGTTGTCCAGTCAAAATGTCGGAGGACGTAGTAGAAGCTAAAGACACCATGTCACACCAATATCCCCCAGTGAAATTCCACTTGAGTAATGCACGATTTGTAGCTTGAGCTTCGAGACAGAAGTCCGATGCTCATTGCCAACTAAGCCTTGGCAAAAAAAGTATACAATATATAAGATATGTGTATTTATATTTTGTTTCAACTCACCTTCCTCCGACAAGAAGAGAATTCCCGTCTCTGACGACTAGTCGAAAATAATCAACACTGGAAGTGTTGCCGACAAACCGATAGACGTCCTCGGCCCCTAGAACATACAGAGAATAGGTGAGAAGCTGCTAGAGGTATACGGGATGATTATAAAGGCAAAAGGAAGAGGATAAGAAGCGGAAAATAGCACATAGGAACGGGATACAGGAAGAGAGTAAAAATGGGGATCAAGAAATGAGATCCGGTGAGGAAAAATATGAAGGGTGCATTTTGGGTAGAAAACATCTCTGGTTAAAGTTAACTTGTTACATATACCACGCAATCAATCCAGCAAAGCTAGTCAAAGGTGAAGACTTTCAGTATCAAGTATCAAGTAAGTATTTAACAGGGGTGCATTGTTCTGTAAACCACAGTCGAATGTAGGGTAAGCTTTCTTCTGTATTTTCTTTATAAATACTTAAATGAGAGAAAACCAAAATCAAACCATAGTACGTAATGGCACAGAAAACATACTATGTTTTCTGTGGTAATGGTAGTGTGTGAATGTGTGTAAACAGGCGTTACAAATTCGACTGGGGGGTGAAAAGATAAGTATTTGCGTACAGAAAATTTGGCGTGATGTTGGGAATATAAAGAAAATTATTAAAACTGGAGAATCCCATGTACCTATTAAAAAAAAACAGCGGTATTACAATTTTAAGGTTTTTGTATAGGCAACCTTTTACTGGTGAACTACGCTGAATAGTCAATGGCCCAAGTGAATAAACAATGAGTAAAAGAGATTACTTGTCTTGAATTTTCATAATGTAAGAGCTGTGCGCACTACACTACAGACATAATAAGTGGTAAAGGCTTAGAATAATGAATGTGAATAAAAAGCGTGGAAAAAATAAGTTGACGAAAACGAGATGGTATTAATCTAAAATTTGTAACTTAAGTAAAAGTTAGAAGAGTGATCCAAAGATAAAAAAGAAAATCTATGAAGATAATAATTGATTTGGGGTTACTGCATCTGATTTTTATGAAATAATATGCCAAAATCGTTCTATATCAGAAAACAATTAATTTGTAAATTATATGTCTTAGCTTGTCAGCGTCTTCGCCAGCAACACAGTACACATATTATAAGAATTACATAAACCAAGTGTATTTTACCATTGAGTATTGGATACCGAAGTTAGACATCCCATCTATATGGACCAGATGTCGCCAATTTTTATTGAAAAAGAACATAGTTTGAGACAGTCACAGAATTCACTTGGCTCAAAAATTCTATTTTGTACCTTATTTTTTTTTTTTTTTAATTAGCTATGTCTCACAATTAAGTCGTTCAACCAGTCAAACTTGGTATAAAAGTGCTTGTACTCAACAGAAATCAGTAGTTTAGATCAGCGCAATCTGTAGGTGGCCCACATCAACACGACAATTTTGTTCTAAATGGTGACAATTTTAACATGGGTATGAAATGTCTAGATTTTACTTCCTCATTACTCCACATAGAGACATTTCCAAGAAAACTTGTAACTTCAATAATACAACAAACTTGAACAATTTAATAGCGCAAATCAATACTGGGTATACTTTCCTGTTAAAAGGAACATTCATTATTATCGATGATTTTTTCGATATATCGATATTTTTGTTTTCCGATCAGATCTATTACAATTTGACAACAACAACTAACTGATCTTGTTTAGGCTAAAATAGTCTATATGGATTAAGAAATGAAACTGTTATAAGCTAACCTAACATAACCAACCAAACTTGCTGTACCATTTAAAACTTCCGTTTGGGTTTGATAATAGAAAAGGCAAGTTAAACACGGAATTTTTAAATGTTACAGTAAGTTTGGTTAGTTATGTTAGGTTGTTTTTTTAGAACAGTTTCATACTGAACAATATTTATCGTAGTTGTCAGCTGATATGTTTCAATTTGTTAATATCGATACATCGAAAAAAATCATCGATAATAATGAATGTTCCCTTTAACAGGAAAGTACCCAATACTGTATACTATGAATGTGTAAAGGGAATGAGAGCCCAGTGTCGGCGTGTGTGAGAGAGAGGGCGTTATCAGCGCTGGCCAGCCGGGGATCAAGGCCGTTCATCACTGCATACAAAGGTCGCCACAATTGTGAATGTCCACTCGTGGCCGCCAACAACCAACAACCCCAGAAACAATAGCACCGCGGGACGTTCTACCGCAATACCCGCCTTTCTCTGGCAAACCTATATTCGTCGCCCAACTCTTGTAATCCCTATTGGTCAAGACTCGGGGGACTTTTTCTCAGGACTCGAGGGACAATATAGACGTGTGGACGATTTCTATATTGTGGTTTCAATCAGATTTGACTGCAACATCAAATTCAAACGTATAACACTGTATTGAAAATAATATGTAGCCTAGTCCTATAAGAGTAATACTGTAGTTGCTTCAATAGTTATATAGTTACATGTTTCACAAACATGGTTGTGTGAATAAAATTTTATTTCAATCAGGTCGTGAGCTTCACTCACCTTAATTTGTTAATCCAGGACTCATCAAAATGTAACACAACGAAGACACAACCACACAATATATACGCACAAAAAAAAATCGCTGTCGTCCTTGCAGTGCATCTAAGGGCGATTTTTTTTGTGCGTATATATTGTGTGGTTGTGTCTTCGTTGTGTTACATTTTGATGAGTTCTGGATTAACAAATTAAGGTGAGTGAAGCTCACAAGCTGATCAATAAACCGTTACGTGTTTTCAATGAACTTTATTTAACCAGTGCAGAAAAATCTGCCCGAATATCAACTCGAGTACAACATGGAAAACTAAGAAAATGGGCTGGAGTCACAGAATACTACGCAACGATAAGACACATTTTATTTTATTTTTTTTTGGAAAAAAAGTTAAAATATACACTGACTCATGTTGTCAGTATACAAACCGGTTATGAGAAAGAAAAAGCGCTCAAAAATAAAAAATAAAACACTTTAAGACCTTTTGTTTTTAAAACAATTAAACAATTTTTAAGTAGTAGGCTACAGTGACATCATACTGCTCTAATAAATTCAAACATCAAGTCCCCTTTACTCATTGCAAAATAACTGGTTACGTTCAACCAAATGAATGAATAACATTTAAATCGATTGACCTTTTAAAATAGATAACAAGTATTCTTACATCCACAAAGCAAGGCGCTACCAAGTTACTCCAGAATGCAAATAGGCGAAGAAAGTTGGATTGGGCGAAACACGATTTGGGCGTTGCAGCCAATTTGATCCCGACCAATATACCTTCAGTTCAGATTTGGCATCGGACTTTCTGTAACACCAACTTAGATGTGACAAGTTGTAAAATTTATAACATCAATATGACGATCGTGTTCACGATTTACACTATTCACTTATGGTTTCAGTTACAAATACATTTAATCCTATCGAAGGTGATTCGAAAAGCTAAACTATCCCTTTACAGAGTGAAAGATCCAATAATAAAAAAAATATAGTAGTCTATCTTTTATGATCATAGCAATTTCAGTAAATCAATTTTTTTCGACGAAATTAGTGTTGCGTTTCATTGCATGTATTCCCTGTATGCGTTTCCGTGCAATATTGAGTTAGTAATTTTACATCGGAAACTTTATTGGGTATATCATTTTGTGTTGGATTTAGCTTAGCAATGTACGCAAACACTACGAACGTTGGTTTTAAAATCGATTGTGCTTTTGATATTGCATCAAGGAAACAGGCTTCAAATTAATTCAAAATTCACGACTGATCGATATAATCTTTCCAGCCTTGGATAACACACATTACACATACTTGTAAATAAAAACCCTGGTTTGGTCAAAAGTTTCCTTTATTACCATACATTATTCCACATTTACTTGAATTTGCAAAGATGCCCCTTCAGTGAAAATTGATTTTAAAAGTGCACGTGAAGGAAAATTGGGGTAACAAGAATATCTAAATGCTCTAACTCCTCACTTCAAGCAATGTTTCATAAGGAATTCCAAGATTGTATTCCATGACGATTCAGTAACAAAAACAATTAATTGATCAACTATTTGTTAATAAAAAACTAAGCGAAAGTTACATCCGAAAGGAAACTACGATGACGTGTATATCTTCACTTCGTTTTAAAAACTAGTATCTTATCTCAGTTTCTCAATTCAATTTTACATTCTTTAAATAATATACCAGATTAATTAGCAATTAAACTTTCAAACGAACCACCTGTACAACAGTTAGTTGTTACATGTATTTTATACACAATGTTACGATTTTGTAAATACGAATTTCAGAGTAGATTGAGGAATTTAATTTATATTTCGATGTTATTCCAGTTTACAGCTTCACAAATGAAGAGCAACCACGTGTAGGAATGTTCAATATTAGACCAATTGATTGCACCTCTCTAACTCGAGTCTAGAAAGTGAGCTTCACATAATACCACTTCATGGTTTAGTTAACCTAACACGTGTGTTATTTTAAAATAAATTGATACCATCGAAATCATGCATTTTACTAAGGAATTTTGAATGAATACTATGATTACTGTTAAAGTTAATTTGGTTGCGAGCAGATAAACGTAATATTTACCGAATTTAGATAGTTAAATACTGTAATCCGATTCCCATGAAAAGCTACTGTACATCTTTTCCACGAATATAGAAATATTTGACCCCACTGTTCAAATATCAGATGTAATGGACATAGATACTATATCCATGTATGTAGTGTGTAGTATTTCCATAGCTATATTATAGGTAGATGTATGGTAACCACAGTTCAGTTAAAGATCTGGTATTCTACATTTCATTATCTAAAATAGATATCATTGTCAGACTTTCACAGTTACTTTTTAGATGAGAACACAAAGACACTAAGGCAACAGTTGTTATGAAATCATCTATGAAAAATAGTTTTAACGTCCAGAACACCTATGTCAATGATTTTTATTAATTTTAAGTGTATTATACCAAACTTTTCAAAAGAATCTTGTAAATAATAATAAAAATAATAATAATACGTATTTTTAAATACCGTAACTTATTTATCAGCATCGTCCGGTTTATAAACTTTCCCGAAAGTACAAAAATACGTCCA